GGATTACGCCACAACAGGCAAAAGGACTTTTTAGGGAGAAAAAGAATCAGGGGAGCGAGAGCGCCGCACACTCGACCTCCCAGCGTCTCAGGAACAGCCGGCCAGAGCGAGGCCTGGGGCTGCGGGGCCCCGGGAACTAGCCAGAGGGTCGCGCTAAGCAGCGATGCAAACGCCCAGGCCTGGCCGAGCGGCCTCCCCGCCCCCTCCGGCTCAGCTCAGGGCCGGCAGACGGCGCCCGGGGGGCTAACTTCGCGGGAGAAGAGGAAGCGACGCAGCGAGTAGCAGACTGCGCGGACGCATGGGGAAAGGAAAGGCTGTCTGTGCTTCTGCCTACCAGCAGGACCGTCTCACCTTCCTTCTGCCGGGTCCGTGTGGCCCCAGCTCACCTGTGGAAGGGACCGGGAGACCGCCGCGGCCGCAGCGATGGCCGTTACGGCACGAGGCCTCCGCTCAGCCGCCGCGTAGCTCTGGCGAGAGGGGCGGGACGCGCGCGGCGGGCGGGCGGGGCTCCGGCGCCGAGTGGCCGGGAGGTCGTAGGCGGATCCGCGCGGGCAGGAAACCCCCTCCCGGCACAATCCGATAGGTTCAGTCGCTCCCTTCTCTCCTATCCCTGAAGCGAGAGTTGTCTGCGCCGCGCTCGGATTGGGCCGGCCCGTCTGTCAATCAAGTGCTGTGCTGGGCGTGGAGCAAACTGAGGCTGTTCAGCAGTGAGCGAGCGAAAGGGTGAGAAGTGCTTGGCCTGATCTTATCGTTGCCGTTTTTGCCACTCCGGTTGCTGTGGCGAATTACTTTGGGCCTCCCTCCTCAGCGCCACATTAGAGACTACACAGCAGAAATTACTGCTTCCCGAGTTCCGCCCCAACGGTTCTGGGAGCTTCCTCCAGGTTTCTGCACCAGAAGTGGGTCTTGTCAACAGAAGGTTTTTAGGGGCAGAGAGAGAAAACGAAAAACAAACCAAAAGGCCTGGAAATGGGAACCTGAGAGGAAAAAAGTAAGATGTATGGTTAATTTGAGCCACAAACCGAAATAAGCTGAGTCTGAAGGTCTTCCCAGTACCGTGGTACGTGGATAACTTCCAGTCTCAGCTGCGGTAGGTAGCCATGCTGTGAGGACAATAACCTTCGGTGTCAAGTGTGCCCATTCTTAGCGGCCCAGTCACAGCCACCTGCCAGGTCATCAGTAAGTTGGTTCTCCCCACGCCAGTACTGCAGCTCCCCAACTCAAACTGCTTCATGCCTTCTGAGTAATCTCTGTGGCTCCGCTCCGCTTAGGTGTCGCCTCCTCAGGGAAGCCTGCTGGGATAGATACCTTTCGTGGAGCACAGGTATTTTCCCCAAGCAAGCTGCTGAGTTTGTTCGTATCCCTACCTAGATGGTAAACTCATTAAGTCAGGAACCATGTCAGTATTTTCCCTCACTGCTTACTACATAATAGATGATAAGTAAATATTGTTTAAGGCATTAATACATCTTCCTTTCCCTTCTTTAATCCTGGCCCTGGCTTAAAGTCCCAAGGGTCACACTTTTCTGCAATTAACTTCAAAATCATTCATTTGAGTTTTGATGTATGTGGTTTGGTTCCATTATTGAGGGTCACAACATCAAGCACAAATCACCCTGAACCCCTTCCTGGCTTCAAGTTGGCTCTGGCAAGTAAATCATGAAACTCTGGGCAACAGCTATTGTATGTCTACATCCCATTATTAGCATCCAAAGTGAAATATGTAAGTGAACTTCAAATTTATTCTAATGGCCTAAATTCCTTTGTATATTTATCATGGCTACAGTAGAGGGAGTTGTCCCCTCCTAGAATTCATATGTTGAAGCCCTGACCCCTAATGGGACTGTATTTGAAGATAGGGCCTTTAGGAGGTACCTAAGATTGACTGAGATAAGAGTGGGGCTCTAATCTTACAGGATTAGTGTTCCTGTAAAAAGAGAGCGATTTTTCTCTATCTCCACCATGAGAAGACTGAGAAGGGGGCCATGTGCAAGCCTAGAAGAGAGCTCTCAGCTGTAATTCACCAAGCTGACATGCTTATGTGGGACTTCATCTTCTAGAACCAGGAGAAATTAAATTTCTGTTATTGGTATTTTGTTATTGGCAACTTGAGCTAATACAATAATTTTATTTGTTAATACATCTTATAAAGTTTATGGATTGAAATGCTATTATATTCATTTTTTTAAGCTGGAGAAATGATTGTCCAGAGGTGAAAACTGTTCTTCCAAAATCATGCACCAAACTGTTAGCAAAACCTGGCTCAGTTCAATTCTGTGTACATATTTAACATGTGATGGGTTGGAGGTGTTAATAAACATACAACAGGTTCTTGCCATCAGGTACCTTATACCACTGCCATAAGTGGGGAAAATAAACCCAGAAAAATATGAAGTCATAAGTTTAGATTTTATTTTGTAAGGGAATATGTATTTTGAATGAACCAATGGTCTGAACAGACCCTTTACAAGATTTTGGTCTAGTTCTCTTAACTACTGTGTGCCACCTATTTAAGCAATAGAAGAAATGAGGGAAAGAACTTTCTTTTAAAAGGGTTTTTAGTTCTGTGTAAACATTTTAGTTTTACTTCTTTAAGTTTCCTTATCACCCATTCTTACCAGGAAATCTTTTAAAAAAGAAAGAAAGAAAAGAAAAGCTCAAAAAACATATGAAAAGGAGAAGGAATTGAAGAAAAAAAAAAGAAACGGCAATGACACAAGAAAGCATTGGGTAGAAAGGTAGCTAAGCAAAAGTCATATATGAAATTGCAGGATAGTAACTTAGAAGGAATGGAGTACAAATTCTTATGGGGTGGGAGTTGTCCGAGAGACTTCCTTCCATATACCCTGTCTCCCCACTTCCAAATATAAACATGCACATGGCTTCTTCCTCTCTTTTAGCGTAACTCAGACCAAAAATGGGAATCACCCCTGCTAATTAGTGCTGAGTGGACGAGGGACTAGCCAGAATCAGGAGACAATATCATTTAGACCAAAACTTATGACCTATGGACTGGAAATGGGGCTTTGATAGGGATAGCTAATCTGTCTAGGATAAAAACATGCAGCAGGATTTGGGAAGACAAGGAAGGGGAAAATGAGTCTCCATGTCTCAAGATCTTTCTCAGGAAACTTGATAGCTTATAGTTAGAAATGATTAGAGGATGATCTGGCTTAGCATCACTGCCAACCAGGACTGTTTAGGGCAACAACAAAAAAGCCCTCCTTACTAATCAACAAGAAGTAACTGATCAAAAGCTTGATTGTGAAGTACAGAAATTAGTGGACCCTTGTAACTAAATTTAATTTCTGGACTGAGTAGTGTTATGCCTTTATGGGAATTAATTCAATGGAAATTTATTGAGTCCTCTCTGTGGTAGGCACTATAATAGGTGCTGGAAATCTAAAGATTCAGTCTTAACTAAAATGAGCTCAATCCAGTGTCAGAGAACAAGATTTAAATATGTTTATTATTAACGTAGTTAATAAGCTATACATATGTACAGGGGGACATTAAACTACAGGGGAAGTTGTGTGGTCAGGCTAGTTAGGCAAATAAGTAGGCAAAGAAGAGATGGGTTCTCCACATAGAGGAGCCTGCATTTAAAAAGGTATTACACAATATTGCTGGAGCAGAAGATGACTAGAAAAGTAAGCAATAGCAGGTTATAGAAGTTAAGGATCTAAGTCTTTATCCTATAGTGATAAGAAGCCATCAGAGGGGTTTTCTTCAGCACTTTAAAATGTCATTCTGTTTATTTCTGGCCTCCAGTGTTTCTGATGAGAAGTTTTCCTGTATGTCATATGTCCTTTTATACTTACTGCTTTTAAAGTTTTGTTTCTTTACCTTTGTTTACCAGCAGTTACACTATGTTTCTAGGTGTGGTTTTCTTTCTATTTATGCTGCTCGAGGTTCAATTATTTCCCTGGGTCTGTGGATTACTGGTTCATGTTGTTGTTTCCTTTTATCAAATTTAGAAATCTTCTGGCCAGTATTTCTTCAAATATTTTTTTCTGCCCCTTTCCCTCTCTCTCCTTTTCTGAGACTACATTTACACTTACGCTAGACTTCTTAGTCCAGGCTCTGTTCATTTTTTTTTTCAAACCTTTTTCTTTCTGTCCTTCAATTTGGATAATTTCTTCAATTTGGATAGTTGAGAGCCAGTGTCTGGCAATTCCTGGAAAATCTGAACATTAACATCTTCCCAGAAGCACAGATACCCAATTAATGACTATGGGCTTTTTGGAGAAAGGTTTAGAGAAGGCAGAAATCACAAGATATTACAACAGAAAGAATCTAGTATTGGGTATTGATGGACTGAAAAAGCAAAAAGGAAGCACTGCATTAGCCCAGAGATGGTGACTATAACAGACCAGCTACCACCCTTAGAGCATGTGAAAAAGAGGGGTCAGAGTTTAACTGTAAGGTCTCAGAAGCTCAGAGGAATGACCCAGCTGAGCTATAGCTCAGATTCCAGAAAGGATGCTGTTTAGCTGGTCCTCCAACTGAGAGGGATATGATGGGGCTGCTGGGGGAAGGAGAAGTGCCAAAAGAAGCTCAAGGCTGAGATGAATTGCTGCTGTGGAGCAAAACGCTATTGCTTATTGCTGGGGTAACAATGACAAATGCAAACAAATGGAAAGGAAGAAATCCTTTCTCCCCTTCTCCTCTTTCTAGTCTCCCTCTAATGTCCTTTATTGATGGAACCTAATGAGACACCAGCCAGCATAGGAAAAATATAATTTATAGCCTCTGAGCCATAGCATCACAGAGGTAAGTACAGAAGAGTGAATTTGAAGTTAAAATAGTTCAGTAATAATAACAATAGCCTAATAACTATATCAACATTTGTTGTCCTAAATTAGTAAAATTGCCCAAATTAGACCAAATTAATGCTACTTTATATGCTTTTACAACTTTTATGCCTTTTGAAAAGAATTTCAAGTTACCATATTGTATCAATTTTCTGCTGTACCATGATTCCTGTTAGATCTTTTTTTCAAGGGTAAGGAGTACCTTTACTACAGCTTACACATGCACTTGCTACAAAATCATAAACAAGGACAGTTTTGGAAAAGATCTGTAAAACTGAGGATAAATAGACCTTGCCCCAGTATTAAGTCTCCCACCATCAGGTACAAAATGGCACAGACTAAGTAGAGCTGTCAAGAATCCAGTCTTCTCCCTACTTCCATTATCCTATGCATTACCTAATGTAGCCATAGCAAAGACCAATTTTCTGTTTGAAAGTAGGGCAACTACTATGGTCATTGAAAAACCACCTGTTTTCCTTTGTTCCCTCTTTCTTGCCTCAACTTAAGCTCCCTTACCCAACCCAGTCACCTCTAGTTTCTAATGTAAGCAGATGACAAAATAGGAATTGTATTAAGATTTCACCTTACCGTGTACTTTTCACCAATGAAGATTTTTGGCTATCGAAGGATTTTTATTAAACATTTGTATAATATTGGGCATAAACATTTATTTTAGGGCCACAGAAGTTCCATCTGAAAAGGCTCATTTCCTCAAGTATTATGTTCTTCAGTGATGAGAGTTAACATTCTCCTACCACAATTACTTTTTGTTAATAACCATAGAAACACTGGATTTATGGTGTTTCACATATTTAATATTTGTTTTTTAACATATTAGACTAGAATAAATTTTCTACATCTGCCTATATTGATTTTATATACCACTCTGTCAATTATACAACACAAGACATTTATAGGTAAATATTAAAATGGCAGTGTACCTATTAATAACTGTTAACAAAATAATAATCAAGTATTCATTTGATGGGAGAGTCTAGTATTTCCTGATAATCCTGCCTTCTTAAATTCCTCCAATAAAGCTTATAACCAGCAAGGACAAAAACACTAATTATAATGATTACCCCTCCAAAAACATCATACACACTAGGAAATATGTGTAACACTAGAAGCTGCAAGACCATAGCTACTACAATCTCCAGGTGTTGTACTGTGCTGACCAAAGCTGGATGGAATTTGTCCAAAGCATAATAAACTCCTAAGAATGCTGCAGTGGAACAGACGCATATGGCAATGAGATAACTCCAGGTTTCTCCATCTAATGGGATGATGGGTTCCTGAAGAACAAACATAGTAGATATTCCCCAGATTGTCCCAGTCCAACCAAAGGTAAACAGTGCAGTCCACATGCTAATCTTCTCCTTAATAGATCTGTATACTATCATAGAAAGAGCAGTGGTCAGTCCGGCCATCACAGTCATAGTGTACCCAAAGGCTTCTTTCCAGGCATTTAACAAAGAATTGTCTTCATCGACAATGTTGGGGATCATGACAAGACAAACACCTAAGATGCTGCAAACAACTGTAGCCATGTCAACATAAGCCATTTTCTCATCTATAAGTAAGAAAGCCAGAATGGCACTGAAGACTGTGGTTGTGGCTCTCCACATAGTGGTCCCATTGCTGGGAGGAACTATTGAAAATGATGTATAAGCACAAGTGATAGAGATGACATTGCATACACCATAAAAGAAGAGTCGTAATCTGTATCCACTGGGTCCAAAGGGGGCCTCCTGGTAGTAACACACAACTAACACAGATAAGACCTGCAAGACAGAACGGATAAAAATCAGCTCTAGAGATGGAACTTTAGAACGATCGGAAACAAGCCTGGTGATCAGAGCTACACATCCATGAGCCAGAGCAGATCCAAATAGCACTATCCACATTTTTCTGGATTGAAAAATATTTTTTTCTGCAAAGCTCTGGAATTGTCCGGTATCATTAGTCATTGGGTCTTCTGTTGGCAGAGGTCGAGTATCCATGGTTCCAAAGAAAGTTCTTCCTTTTCTTTTCATTTCACTCAGCAGGCCTTTCTTTGGATTTTCTTCCATAAAATTTCCATAGTCTTCATTGATTTCTTCATATCCATCATCCCCAGGCTGGGGATAATGGGAAGTATATTTCACCATCACTGTGTTGGGATGTATTTTCACCCGCTTTTTAACTGGATATTTTTTGGAGGGAGAAGTATCCATTTCTTCAGATAATCAATTCTATATAAGAAAATAAAAAAGACAAGTGTACATATTCAGTTGAAATTTGGTTTTAATTTCTATTATAATAATATGTACCAATTTAATCATGGAGAGTAGAGGTTGTAAAAAACATACATTTTTCAGTCTCATCTTATGCTTGTCCCTATTTCTTGTTCGGCTTATTCTTTGTCTCACTCAGCTCTGTTACTTATCTTTACACCACAAACAACTGAGATTTTTCCTTCATCGTTTCATTCCTACCTGCTTCCCCACTCACACAATAAGAAAAACACAGAAAAGTAAATAACAACTTAGATAAAAACTTTACTTTTCATTGTGTCTTCTCTCTATAATATAAATTTTAAATAGATAAGTCCAAAGTTTTTTGTATAATCACTTGTGTATAATATCACAGTTAGCTCTATAGTACAAATTCTTTTTAACATTTATTCTGGACTCCTCATACATATTCAGATATATATATAGATCAAAATTAGAAAATAAGTAAAATGGATTTAGTGACAGTCATGCATTGTTGTGTAATACCTTTCTGATAAGCAATTGGTCAATATATATTAAGATTTTAACTGAAACCACCCTTTAATTTAGCAATATCACTTCTAAGATTTTATACTGAAGATATTATGTATTTAAAAAAGAAAAAATAATATGCTTTTACATATGCTTATATAGCATAAAGAAATTATGGAAAGATACAAAATAAACTAATAATTGTTAGGGTGGGACAGGGAATAAGAGTGGAAGAAAACATGCAATTTACATTTTTGCATTTTTATTTTAGAATCACAATATTGTTCAAAAAATTAAATTACAGACTAGGGGCGCCTGGGTGGCTCAGTGGGTTAAAGCCTCTGCCTTCGGCTCAGGTCATGATCCCAGGGTCCTGGGATCGAGCCCCGCATCGGGCTCTCTGCTCAGCAGGGAACATGCTTCCTTCTCTCTCTCGGCCTGCTTCTCCGCCTACTTGTGATCTCTGTCTGTCAAATAAATAAATAAAATCTTTAAAAAAAATTAAATTACAAACTAAAACAAGATGTTCATATATTAAGAAAAAGAGCATAGAAAAAACTGTAGAAAAAAATGCTTGAGTAGGAGGGTTCACTATAGCTTACCACAATGACCCTGCGTACAATGTAATACTATGCTATACATCCATTAAAAATGATGATGCAGCTATGGTGAGTGCTGTGAAGTGTGTAAGCCTGATGATTCACAAATCTGTCCCCTGGGGCTAATAATACATTATATGTTAATAAAAAAATGATGATGCAGATCTTTATTGACACAGAAATGTCCGTGACGTTTTGTTAAGTGGGAAAAAAACTTGTACGGATTAAATAAGATAATGCATATAAAGAATTTGCCACAGTGCTGGCATATTGTGAATTCTCAGTAAATGTTAAGAAGAATTCAGCTTCCTCTCTTTCACCTTTCACCTTTCTTGAAACACTGGGATTTTCTACATTGTTATTCTTTCTCCAAAACTTGTATTTGTTCACTCAGTTCTCTTTCCTGTTCGTTCCTTTTTTCTAAGAACAATTTCTTTGATTTCTCGCCTCCCCTATGAAGGAAAAAAAAAAAAAGGAGTAAACTTTTTTTTATTGTTGTCCTTATGACATCCTCCCTGTCCTTGCCAAAAACTCAACAGTTCCAGGATCTTAAACCATGGTCTAGAAATCAAATCCTATTTTGTTCTTTGACACCATCTGTTTCATTACTCTTTACTCTTTTTTCTTCTAAATGACACTATCTTCAGGTGGAAGAAATAATTTTAAAAAACACCACCTGTGCCTCCAAATTCTTCATTTTCCTAACCTGGACCTCCCACTTGGCAGTTCTTCCTACATATTACTGTCAAGCTAATCTGATGTTCTTTTATTCCAATTTGTATCAAATTGTGACTTCAGCCTCAGTAATCCCAAATTGAATAATCTTGGTCTTCCAAACAGATTTTCTTTCCCAAATTTAGAGTGATTTTCTCCATGATACCTCACTGAATTTATGTTTGCAATACCATCATTTCTCCAGTTCCCCTAAGCTAGAAATCAAGGAATAATCTGAATTATCCTTTCTGCTGTCACACTTCCATTTGGTCATCAATCATATTGTTCTTGTCTTTGAAATATTCCTCAGATTTTTCCTTCTCCAGTTCCATTTAACCTTTGTGATTCTGTATCATGTTATTGTGAATTCCTATCTAGAATATTGCAACAGCATCTTAACTAGCCCCAATCCTTCTCCCTTAAAGTCCATCTATATTATACCACTATCTACTTTCATCTGTCTTTAAAAGATTCAAAAGAAAACAACTTCCCTTATGCCTTCTCCATTTAAGAACTTACAGTGATTTTCTCCTAGCTACCTCCCTGAATCTCAGCTCTTCTGCCTGGCTTTCCAGACCCTGCCTCATCTAGCCCCTGTCAGTCCGTAACATAAATATTGCCGTGATTAGTCCAGTGCCCTCCCTGACCTCACTCCCCACATGTACATGTCATTTTTCCAAGTCTTTACTCTTACTTATTTCCTCTGCTCCAGCTTTCTAAATACTGCTCAACTTTTAAGGAGGACTAGTCCAGATTTTGTCTTTTAGAAGCAAGACTTCCCTGTCCACTCCAGCCTCTTATTTTTTTTTCTTCCTTGTCTAACATCTGCAGTAGTTTCTTCTAATTTTTGTAATCTAATCGTTTTTTAAAATTTTTTGAAGATTTTACTTACCATTTTACAGAGGGAGAGAAAGAGAGCACAAGCAGGCAGAGGGGGAGGGGAGAGGGAGTAGCAGGCTCCCTGTTGGGCAGAAAGCCCAACGTGGGGCTTAATCCCAGGGCCCTGGGATCAGGACCTGAGCCAAAGGCAGACACTTAACCAACTGAGCTACCCAGGCACCCCTAATCATTTTATTATTTAGTATCTCAGCTCAGTACAGTGTCGTCTGTAGTCATTGTACCCAAATTTACTATGTTAAATCTCCTTTCCTTGCTAGTCAGCATCTTGCTGACATCTCTGTTAGAACCTGTAACTTCTCATGGGCTGTCTATTGTTAAAATTTTGTCTTACATCCATTCAAAGCTTTCCCATTTCCCATCACAGGCCAGATTTGTAGCTCCAGGGACATGGATAGGGAGAGGATGTGGTCTGCCATTTTAATCCTCTCATTCCCTCCCTTTGGAGTCTTCAGGAGGGCATTGAAATCTGCCTTTAGGAGACCTCCTCCACCTCCCTATTCTAAGCTCCAGCTCCCCTGGTGTATTGGCACAGGGAAGAAGAAAAAGGAAAAGGATACATGTTTTATATTGGCTGCTGTTGTGTGATGGTTTTTTGATGTATAAATTTGGCTGGGTTGAACTATATTCCCCAGTTATTTAATCAAACATTAATATAGGTGTTGCTGTGGAGGCATTTTGCAGTTGTGATAAAAGTCCTTAATCGGGGGCATCTGTGTGGCTCAGTTGGTTAAGCCTCCAACTCTTGATTGTGGCTCAAATCGAGATCTCAGGGTCATGAGATTGAGCCCCACATCCAGCTCTATACTGGGTGTGGAGCCTGCTTGAGATTCTTTTTCCTGCTCCCTCTGCCCCACGCCCTCACCCCCATACCACTCAGGCATGCTCCTCACCCCCCCAAAAAAAGTCCCTAATCAGTTGGCTTTAAGTTCATCAAAAGTCTATTCTGTATGGGCCTGGCCTGATTGGGTAAGCCCTTTAAAAGAGGGCTTAGGCCTTACTTGAGCTTGGAGATTACCAACAGTTGATGCCCTTGGAGTTCTAGCCTGCGCATGATATTTTCCTTACTGCCTGTGGACAAAAAGCTTCAGCCTGTGCTCATGGGATTCCAACATGCCCTTGATCTTCTTTTCCTAATTGCCTACCCTAAACACCTCAGACTGTTTTATCCAGCCCCAGAGGTATATTAGCCAATTCCTTGTAATAAATCTCTTACTGGTTCTGGGCCTTAGGTTGAACGCTGACTCTGATAACACATTGGAATTAATTCCTTCATTATTGTCTTTTGTTTCTCTGTTAACTCTGATAGGTCACTGATACTCTCTAGGTTGTAGGTATCTAAATGCAGGCTACTTGGGTAAATTTTGTAGGGCCTCCCCAGTGTATAAGTCCCTGATGTGAGAGTGCCTCCTGCTCTAGGGCTTATGGCCAACAAATTTTTGCTGCTTAGTCCTCTTCCCTGGTGGACCTCTCTTTTGCGCAGGCAGGCACCAACAGTATTCACTTGGTCCCAGGAAACTCCCATATCCTTACCACTCTAGTGAGTGTATGGACCATTTACTGCTGTCCCCTTTTTCTCCAATTTTATTTCTCTTTTTCAGGCAAGCAAAGGGCAAATTAGAATGTGCTGTCTAAACGGACTTCCAAATGGAGAATGAGAAGACATAGTCATTGCACCTAAGTATCTGGTAACCTTCACACTCAACTAGAAAGGGGGACTTGCCTCTCCCTTCTCCCATAAGGAAAAAGCGTAACATTTTTCTTAAGCCAAAGACCTGTAACAGATAATGTGATCCCTGTGACAGATTGTATTTTCCAAAGAGAACCACAAGTTTAGTATCTCCCGTACTTCATGTTTTGGATTTTTTAAAATGTGAATTTAACATTATTAATTAATTTAATATTATTAAATTAATTAATTAGATTAATTAATTAATTTAATATTATTATCTCTATTATTAAATAGAGAGGTAGAGCCTATATCCCCTCCCATTAAAAGTAGGAAGACTAGGGATACCTGAGTGGCTCAGTGAGTTAAAGCCTCTGCCTTCAGCTCAGGTCATGATCCCAGAGTCCTAGAATCGAGCCCCACATCAGGCTCTCTGTTCAGTGGGGAGCCTACTTCCCCCTCTCCCTCTGCCTGCCTCTCTGCCTACTTGTGATCTCTCTCTGTCTCTGTCAAATAAATAAATAAAATCTTAAAAAAAAAAAAAGTTGTTCTGACCAATGTGCCAGCACTACTTCTCCTTCATCATAGAGACAAAGGGTCTGAACTAA